GTACACTTTTTTATTTTTATTTTTTAACCAAACATACTGTTTGGCAGCAGTGAAAGTGTCACTTTTGCGTGACTCCTAATGTAGCTACCATTATGACAGATTTAAAATTCACTTTTCCTATAAAAAAAAAAAAACTTTTATACTCCCTTTTCAGATTTTCCTTTTCAGAGCTATATAATAAAATAAAAAAATATAGCCAAAAGTTAATTTGTTTTGCTTCTTGTTCTGCATTTATCTATTTGATAATGAGGGAAGGTGAAGAGTTCTTTTTTGTGTGTGTGTTTGTGTGAGAATAAGCAAAAAGCTAAAAAGTGGTTTTTGCTTTAGAAAAAGCTTACAGAAAGACAAGAAAAGCTAACAAAGTATCATTTACTACTGACTTGTTTTGCTCACAATTCCCTAACAGAAGCAGAGCACAGAAAGTGGAGACATTGAAAAATAAAATTTAAACAGTTAAAAAAAAAAAAAAAAAAAAAAAAAAAAAAATTTAAATATTTATCAATCCTAGAATTTAATAAAAGGGAAGGCTTTTTTTTTCTTTCTTGTTTTAGTACACTGTAAGATTGAAAACTGCAGATAAAATGGCAAAATAAAAAAAAAATAATGGAGACAGAATATGTTGAACATGAAGTTTAAAAAGAAAAAGCTGACCATATTTTTCGGTTTATAAAAGAAAAAAGTACTGCCAACCAGTTTTTAAGGGGAGCAAATACAAAATGTACCAGAGTCCCACTTTATCCCAAATATGAAATGGAATTTTTGTGTTTCCTTGAGTGAGAGTGCAGAAAAGATTGTCTTGGGTCACAAAGCACTTTTTCTTTTCTAAATTCACTCATTTCTAAAACATTTCTCAGAAATGTTGATTTCCATCCAGGAATGTGACCAAGTAATTTTTTGTGCAAGACTGACTGATCATTTCAAAGCAGCAGCTGTAAATGAAGAAGTGGGGGGGGGGGTAAGGAATGTCGAAACATTTGGTAAATTTTTTTTTTAACACTTCTATAAAAATGATGACAATGAATTTGCTAAGTAATTGGATAGGGAAGGTTGCTGGTTGGCTACAAGTAAGAAATGGAAGTAGTTGCAGTAAAAATTAGTAAATGAAAAATTACTAAAAAGCAAAATACAGTTGAAATTGTTTTGTTGTTGATCCGAAACCATAAACAAGCCAGCAGCTTGCAAATGTCCAAATCTTGTTTAGAACTCATTTTACAAGTCATTTTTTGCCATTAGTGCCTTTTTAGAATCATCAACAACATTCTTATTGAGATGGGATGGGGGAGACAGGGTGGGAAATTGGTATATTCAGCAGATCAGGCTTCAGTCGCTGCTCCTGAAATAACAAAAAGGAAAAGAATTGAAAATGTGTGACCAACAAGAATGAGGGTAGAAATGAATAAAAAATAAAAAAATAAGTGTGTAAGGGTATTTGGGAATCGGAAAAACTGAAACCAAAATGAGTCCAGGAATTTGTTAACATTTAAGAATCCAATTCTTCACAGCTTATCCATCACATTCCAATGTAAGATATGCAGTGAAAGGGAATTCTTTCTCTACTCCAGACTTGACATATTTGAAACTATAAATTTGTTATCACTTTAATAATAAATAAAGGATAGGTATTAAATGGAATCTTAAGCAGATTGTATGCAACAATTTAAATGATTGACATGGTCAAAAATCATCATGTTTACCAACAATTGCACCAATAGTCATTTTTCTACATATGAACAGGTCTTTTGAACAAAACAAGAAAAATATCTCACTAATAAATTATATCAACAAAAAAAAAAAAAAAAATCTACAAAGACTGAATTGACTATTCACAAATGGTGCCAAGGAACGATGGATTCAGAGTTATCGCCCTTGGATTATTAAACGGAGAGAAAAATAATTTTCAGACCATCTCATTAGTTTTCATATCCAAAATTAATATTAGTTAATAAAAGGTTAAAAAAAACGCTATTTTTTGAGCAGCAAGAAACATTAACGTGTGTCTAAGCTTGTCATTTTTGCGCATCGATTAAACTTGTGAGAGTGAAAAATTACAACTGTCATAATATAAGGGAGACAATCCATAATGTTTTGATACTCTGTCAAGGATATTTACAATTTGTTTCAATTTCACGACATAAAACAGAAAAAAGGTTTTCTTTAAAAAACTTTCCAATAAACTACAAAAAAAGAGTTGATTGGAAAGTTGCTGAATAGCTAAACTTGGTTTTATAGAAATACTATCAGTAAAGAAATGACTGACATACAAAGATTTCATCAGAGAACATTTTTTAAGTTGAATTATAGAAGAGAAAAAGGTTTACTTCTGTCGACGCCTTGTTGAGGATAGGGTCACATTACAGCAAAGGATACAGATACAGTTTCAATAGCAAATGAACTTTTATGGGTCTGGATTATTAGCCCAACACCCATAGAAAACTTCTTTACAGGTCTAAATTTCCCATAGCTGTGAGTGAGAATTGGAATCATGATTTTCCCAAGAGCAATAGTAGAAAGTAAACAAAAATGTCTCAACCAGAGTTTGAACCTGGTTCATCAATTTCATTTTCTGTGCAGTTAACCATAAGGCTACCCACACCTACAGATGAGGAAATAGGAAATTAAAATATCAAAAATTAAAAACATTAAAAAAAATTATTCAATTTGAAAATCAAATATTCCGGTGTAACAGAAAGAAGGTTGAGTAATAGATGTGAGAATTGAAATTAATGATTGTAGAGGATTTTCTTAGCCTCTGCATGAAAAGATTATTTCTAATAAAAGGAGAATTTGTCTATCAACCCAGCCAAGTCAAATTTTCAGTCAAGATAAAATCTCATTAACTTTTTTTTTTCTCATCACTTGCAGATAATAAATTCTTCACTCAAATTATTTACATTTTATTGAATGTCTTATGGTTGACAATGAGTGTAACAGCTCTTTTGACAGTTATCACTGCCTAGGACAAAGCTATTCAAGATTTGCTTGGGTAAAGAGAAAACGGGCAACATTATTTGCTTATAACAAATTGTATATAAAAAAAAAAAAAAATAATAATTTACTTAATAATTAAAACCTGAGTAATTGATTCTACTAAAATGTTACGTTTGGAAAGCTCTGGACAGTGAGATAGTCATTGGAGAGTGATTTACCTCATTCACTTTATTTCCATCAATTACCACAACATGCCATTGACAAAATATGACAGGACAGATTGCTAGGATATAAATTCATAACTTTCCTAAGGGTATATCCTCGTATTGTTTTTCTCCAGCCTATATCTGTTGCGTACTGCAATGTTGTAGAATTTCGTTCTGAGGCAACATGCACATTTGTTTGTGCAACACTTTATTCTTACGATTGTCTCCCCCTTGACCTGACCTGTGCGCTTATTGAATGTATTCCCATCTCTTAAGCCATAACTACAAATACCAAATCCCTGATTTATGACTCCCACAAGCTACTAATGTCTATGCTTGGTCTGCTGATTGTGTTATCTGAGCAAATATGCACAAATTCTTTTCGCCTTATTCTCCAATGCTGCTTCCTGTCTATTATTTTGTATTCATTCTATAAAGACTAGTGTTCCCCCCCTTCTCTCTCTACATATCACCTATACCATATTTAAAAGTTCTCCATGGATGTCAGCTTTTCAGTTTTCTTTAACTCTTATTTTTAAGGCAGTCGTTGATCTCATCCATGTACTCTTTGCAAATATAATTTCATTTAAATAATGTTTTTTTTAAAATGATTCTTTAATTATTTAAATGTGACTTTGGAGAAAATCTGAACACTTATCCTATTACAGTCAATAAAAGTATAAATTATTTCATATCTCTGCTTGTCCTATGGTTTACAATCTTTTTGAATTCATACGATTTTGTTGATTATTATAAATAATTCTGGTTTAATGATTTGACAAAAATAAAAATAAAGTCTTAATTTTGATTTAGTGTTTATGCTCACCATCTATAACTACTCTTTGAAATGCATGAACTGACTTTTCTCTACCTTGCCCTGCTATCAAATAATATCTTGACAAAGGATTCTCTCTCACAAATGAGTTAGTAATTGGACAAGCCACTCTCACATATATGCAGTAGCAGATGCAAAAAGCTGTTATACCTATTGTCATCCTGGGGGTGGGGTACAATAATACTTTGTCATATTTAAACATGAAGTGTTTAGTTACACTTTTTGCTAAATAGCCTCCTCTTAGCACATGCACGCTATGTCTAATAAAGAGATTGATATTGTTGGTCTTCCCACCACTAGAAATTTTTAATTAATGATCCAATTCCAATTTTTTGGACAAAGTAGTCTTCCAAGATTATTTTTATCCTTGAAAAGATGTGTCAACAGTTTCGAAATGTATACATTTCCAATATATCAAATCTGATTTTAGATAGATTGACAAAAAGAGCATGAATTTCTAAAACAGGTTTAACTATATCTATTCATTATAAAATATGGATAATTAAAAAAAAAAAATTAGTTAAAATTCCCTTTTGGAGAAACAAACAAAAAACAAACAAACAAAAATAGAATTTTTTAAAACTCAAAATTCTGTACCATGCATATGCAACCTAAGAAAGAAATGTCAAAATACAATAATAAAAACAAAAATTCCATTCCCAGAAACTGTTTCCTTCATAAAACATGCAAGCTCAGTGCCAAGATTTGGGTTAAAAAAGAAAAAGGCTTAAAGTGAATTATGGTTAATAGTAACAAGATGTAAATACATGCAACATTTTTGTGCAATGCCCTCCGACCTTTCAACCTTTAAAATTCAACAAGAGCAGGAAAAATTTAGGGAAAAAGAGGGGGGGGAAAAAAAAGGAGAAAGATTACTTTGTGGCAGGGACAGAGGCCAGGGTTAAGTCACAGAAAGTCAGCAAAACAACATGGGTAGAGAAAAAAAAAACAAAAAGTAAATAAAGTATTAATTTGGCAGAGAAAGAGAGCAGAGAAAGAGAGTGAAAAATGTTAGCGGCTGTCATCTGCTGTCACCGAGAGAGAGAGGTAGGGGAGTGCGCATGTGGTTTGTGGGGGGGCAGCAATAGCAACTTACATGCTTCAGGATCATCCTCATAGCCTAGAAGAAAGAAAGGCAGATCATTACTGACAACCAGAAGTTTAGATTAATAGTAAATACATTGGTAATGAACATTACATGAAAATTTAGAAATGATGGCATTGGTGAGAGGAAAAGGGGTTAAAATGGTTGTAAGAATCTTAAATGTGATATCAACAATGGAGACTATTGTTGACATAATATTGTGTACAAAAGAATTTCTATTTTATTATAATGTTTGGAGATATTAGATGACAACAATGGAGTCAGAACCCTCTCCATCAACAAATAAGAATTCAATTCCTGAAAGTGATTCTATATATTAATTCCAATTATTGAGGTGTGTGTTGGAAGAGTGATAGAGCCTGAAGAGTAGAGATGTATGTCTCTCTCAGACACCAGAAAGGACAGGTTAATGGATGCTGTAAAACGTTATAAAAATAAGAAGCTTTTGTTTAGAGAGAACTTTGTTCAGATTTTACAAGAAACTCTTCCCAACAAACAATTGGTAAGAAAAATGTTACATTTATAGAGTAAAAAAGATATTAAAGAAATGGAAAACTATTAGTTGATTAGTATTTCACACATTGCCAGTAAGGAAACAATTTCATCTTTACACTTGATACTAATAGACCGAGTTATAATTGCAGATTTTGAGAGCCAATTTTCATTATTATAAGCTCTATAACACTACCAATATGGTAATTTAAGGCTGATTTGTTTTTTATCAACTCTTTGAAGATTATTTAAAACTGAAACATTTTGGATTTTTAAGACAATTCTTTTTCTTTCTGAGTGAATATTATATTTTCAACTTTTTGAGTATAATGATTTTTCCAGATACAAGTCTTACTATTTGACCTATATATAATTGGGGGGGGGAGAAGAACGATTTGTACGTTTCCCCAAAGATAAGTGAATGTACCTAACCTGACTAGAATTTGAACTTTGATCTCGGATTTCTCATTTCGAGCTGTTATCTATTCCACCACCTGCAGAAAATTTGAGAAAAAAAATCTCTTGTTCCATCACTAAAAATCTTGACAACATTCTTATCATTTGTATTCTACAAGAACTGGATAGAGAGACTTTTCCCTGATGCTGGAACCAATAAAAAGCAAATTATTGTCTCAATTTAAGTGATTTACATTATTCTGTAAAAGGTGAGGGGGGAATTTTTTTTTTTGTTTTTTTTTTGAGGAAAAGATGGTTAAAAAGGGGAAGATGATGCAGGGTTAAACAAGATATAAACATGCAGAATAATCCAGATTGCATTGTCAACATGCTAAAAGGTTTTTGTGGAAAATAGCTAGTAAAAGAGGGTGGGTGAAAAAAAAGAACACAATGACAAATCAGCAGAAAAATGTTGAAAACATTCAAAGAATTTGATGACAGAGAGGCAGGCCAGCAACAAAGTTACGGAGGGTTAATCAATTTTTTTTTTTTTTTGTTATTCATACCATGGGAAAATTCTCTATAAATTGTTTAAACGATAAATTTACAATATTTAGCATTTTGAATTTATATGTCAAGAATAGCTAAAATTTAATTCTTAATATAAGAAATCGTTTTTTCTTTATGGAGACAAGTGCAACTATAGATTTTTTTAATATAACCTGTTACACAAGATTCAGTGAAATGACATTGAATGAACCTGTTAAAATAGTAATGAACAAAGCTATTCAATTAAAAGCTCCACAACATTTCAGCTTTCTTTTTTAAGAAAAATTTGAGACAATGAAACAAAGTTCTAAATTATTTGCCTCTATATCTTTCAATATCATTCCAAAAATTGTTTAAATTATTGAACTTATTCTTCACGTTGCTTTTATCACAAGGTTTCAACCAAACCATTCTATAACCATCTGTGTGTACAATCCAGACGTCCTTTTCAGAAAAGGATGGTATAAATTAGGACATAATTAATTCAATTCCAGCCACACATGAATTTTTAATCTCTGCTGTCTGTATAACATATTTGCTCTCTCACTATATATATATATATATATATATATATATATATATATATATATATATATATATATAATAGTGAGCTTTTTGGAAGTAAAGTCTGATGATCCAGAACCCTGTTAAAGGGTTATGGTGAAATAACTTATTACATGGAATCTTAACGTGGTCTGTTTTTTATTCAAATATATATATATATATATATATATATATATATATATATATATATAGTGGCTGTCAACTCAGAAAGCAAATGTTACAATCACTTAAACTCTCTCCCTCCACCACAACACTGCATTCATCGGTTGTGTGAACGACAGCGGCTCATAAAGCCAGCAATCGATCTGCATTTCATGTCACATGTGGCATATCAAATCATCTCCAAATGGTGAAAATTGACTTTGATCATCATCACTTCCAATGAGCCCTTTCGTATGCCTTGTCAGGCCCGACCTAGACTTGCACACCCTAGACTGTTGGTGTTGACATGACCACTGTCATATATTTATTTATTTATATATATATATATATATATATATATATATATATACATACACACACACACACACACACGACTCTCCCATTATTTTCAACGTATGACAGTACAGCAACTCAGTTCTTAGAACTGAACAACCAGACTACATGTACATATGATTTGATTATAGAAGTAAATGCTTGAGCAGAACCAACCACTCTTTTTGGAAGAGCCAAATACATAAAATTGGTGCATGTAATGTGCCACAAGGCCCCCAAATATTCCTTCTCAGGTTTTTAATTCTGTTGTTCTCCTAAAACAATTTGCTATGCAAGGCTATAGGATCAAGTCTATCCTGCTATTTAACCCATGGCTGGGGGGAAGAGATGGATTTATTCCTTTCCCAAGGGCATTTACACAAAAGTGAATATAACAAACTAGAATTCAAACTCAGAGTTTCTATCCATTTGTTGTGTGCATATATAACACACTATCCACAATAAGTTTGTGTTTATTAAGATTAAAGTCTGTCATTTTATTTATATTCAGATTATTGTCCTCATCTTTGTTGTTATCACATTTCAGCCATTGTCCTTGAACCAGGTAACCATCAGCAAATTTAAAACTTTTTACTTAATCTATGAAACTAAATTTTGTTCTCATTCCACTGTCCATATCTACAGATAACTCATTTAGTTCTTATTTAGTACTGCTCAGTTGTTGCTCCCCTCATCTGCACCTGGGATTGAACTCACAATTACTATGTCACCAAATTTACAAACCAATGCTTAACAACAAAAATAAAGATAACTCATTATTTAGATCATCAGCCAGGAAAAAGCATCAGTTTTTTGTTCAGTTTTCCTCATAGCCTCAAAAAGCAAAAGTCAAGATCCTTGTATAAAGTTGTTTCCGCCCCCTTTTTTAGGGCTGTAAAAAGGGTGCAGAATATCTTTAGAAAGTTGTTACTTCTGAGTGGTTATGATGACATGTCAAAAACTCAGTTAATAACAGCAACACTTTGCATTTACTTGCATTCAGACAGGAAATAAAACCGGTTAATGTCACCTATAAATTTCCCATAGCAGAAAGTGTGATTGGTTGACATTTCCAAATGAGAACAGATTGTAAGTGTCCCAGTATGATGATGATGATCATCATATAGGTATATATTACCCCAGACCTATGCTCCCTACACTATCACCATGCAACTACAACATGGCCCTCCAAAAATGTCCAAGAGACATCAGGTAAATAAGAGTATCCAGTCTTCACTTTCGAGAGCTGCATAGGAGGATGGCTATTACACATAATGCCGCCTAACAGGTACATCACCAAAAAATGCTTACAGTGTGCCAGAGTCCAAATGAGAGACATTGTTGCAATGTCTATTTACTGTGAAGTACAGAAAGCACACTGTAGCAAATTGATGGTTGTTCACAGCAATAGGGTGAACAATCCCAAATCATGCTGGGGTGGGGAGATTAATGTTACATTCTGTGGGGAGGAATAAGCAGAAACAGGAAAACAAATTTGATCTTTACTAATGGATACATTGGACATTTTTACCTACAGTTTATTACTGACTTGACCATTGCCAACTGACACCAAACTTTATTTTCAAGTTGCTTATTGGACTGTTCGTTATCGCACATCTCCAAGTGATTGATACTCTGCACATTAAACACTAGCCACGCCATCAAATTTCAACCCAAACTTGTGGGATCAGTTAAAACAATGGTTTTATGCTTGGGTTTGTCCACCATGTGACCTGAGAAACTTGCTTATAGTTGAAGAGAGGAATGACATATCACAAAACAATAACCAGCAATTTTGTCAGGAGTAAGAGACAAATGACAGACAATGACTGACATAAAGGATAGAAATATCCATTTCCAACATTTCCAAATTTTGCTTTCCACTATTAATGACATTCTGGATTACCCAATAAAACCTATCATTTAATATTCTACATCAAACATTCATATTACACATACAAAAACTGAGAAAACAAAATTATACTCCATAGTAATCCCTTATTGCCTAGTTTATTCTGAATATTATATAATTACTAATATTTAGTATTTACAATCATTTCTGTAGAGTATTTTATTTTCTGTTGGGTATTTTATTTAAAGACAAAATTTAAAAAAAAAAAATGAAATTAATGTCTACTTGCTTAGAGATTAACCTTGAGCCCTGACCACTGCTTTAGAGAAAAAGGATTTAATGCCCAGCCACCAGTTGAACTGTGGGTAAACACTTGCATTGTGTTTTGCTATTGGTTGTCTTATTTTGAAGAGCCAATCAGAAAAGCCGTAATATTCTAATGTCATCAAATTAGATAACAACATGTCCGTGCCTTTTCATTGTGTTTTGTGCATGTGTTTTGGATTAAAAACATCGTTTTTACCATGAAGTGTGCAAAGTCTCAACCTGGACCGTCAGGGAAGCAATCAGGGACAAGGTATGCAATCATGCTCTCTCCCTAATAAATATAATCTACTGTGAAACATTACGTACCAATTATTTGCGAATTTTGACTCCGAAGCTCAGGCAGAAGGGTTAAAATTGTTCAGGAACACAGGATTCAAACGGTTAAAAGTCTTACTGTATAAGATTTATCTCCTAATAAGAATTAAATCTGTTTTATGATTTTAATTAGAGTAAACCACTTTCAAACCAAGTGTACCGCTCATTTTCACACACATTTTTTCCTCTTCATGATGACAACACGTGTGGTGGAGGGTTACAATTTCTTTTTTCTTGGTGGGGGTACATTTTAAAATGGTTGTAGAATGGACGGATCCCAACAAAGTGTGAAATTAATTTCTGATGTATTATAATATTTTATGATCACTGGTAAAAAGGGAGGTCAGAATTTTAAAAAAGAAACTAATAGAAAATTTAGGTTTTAAAAGGCAGGGCAGACAAAAATACAAAAACAAAATTCAATTTGCATCTTTAGTCTTACAGGAAATAACTCGCTTCTTTGCTTCCACAAGGATTAAACTTGATTAATTTGAAATCAATATTTGTTCAGAAAGATTCAAAGAGTTATCTCCCTTAGTCCTAAGCAACGAAGGACGCCATTTTCAAACTCTTTCTGAAGAGATTTCTTTTTCTTCAAAATTATTAAAAAAAATTTTAATAAAAAAAAAAAAAAAAAAAAATGCTTTCACTATTTTTACAATAAAAACTTATTTCATATGATAAAACAAAATACCTATTAAACTTTACCTAAATAGAAAAAGTAAAGATTAATCAATATTCTTGTAAAATTTTAAATAAAAATTTCAAATAAATTTTTTGCTTGAAGAATTTCAAAACAGTTCATTTTATAATCATAAGTGTCTAAATTTCTTATGGTTCTTTTTTCTGTTCCAAATGACAAAAATTAAAAATAATTTCTTCCTTAGACAAATACACTGGCCAAGAAAAACTAAATCTAATCATAGAATCAGATTCAAATTTAAAAATCAGCAACAGTCTAGATACTAATTTTATTTATTTTAGATCAACCAAAGGAAATAAAATTATCAAGAGAGAAAAAAAAAATTAATTTTATACTTAAAAATGTTCATTAATGAACGTTAACTCCTACGTTAAATCTTAAAAATAATTTTAAATTAGAGTTGTCTGCCCTTGATCTGAAGTCGACTTGCTGATTGAAGTGAAGAAGAGAGAGACAAATAGAAAGATATGTTGGGATAGGGAAGAACTAAGTGACGAAAAAATGGCGCTGCTGTTGCTGCTGCTGTTGTTGTTGTTGTCGTTGCTGGTGCCATAACCACTACTGTCATATGACTGTACCTGTCATGGCTTGCTTCTCTGGAGCATCAGCTTTTTCCTTCATGGAGGAATCCCGTTTCCTTCTACCTCCTTTTGAAGAGTTCCGTTGTTTCATCTGAAAACTGTTCCTGAATAAAAAGGAAGGGAAACAAATGGAGTCAGAAACTGAAACGCTGATCCATCAATAGCTTCAAGGTAGATAAAAAGTAAAAACAGAAACTACTAATTTCCATTGTCACAAGACAAAGAGAACTTCTTTTGAGAAAGGCATCCCATTCTAAATAGAAGAGAGGCACAAGGCCAAATGATAGGGAGGTGGAAAACTGTATTGCACCAATCTTTCAAGTAAAGACAGAAATCCTGCCCTGTCTTGAAAAACATTCAACATTCTGGATGTTCACCTGTGCACTTATCACTAGCATCAGTGAGAGATAGAAAAATATTTCAACCACCAAGCAAGCAAAACAGAGAGAATATCAAGTGATGGTGGAAGAACAGACACTTTTATATAAATAGAATGTATAAGAAAAGAGAAGATACTGAATGAAGAAAGTTATCAATAAGAAACATCAAGTTAAGCATTTGGAAGTTTCCAAGAGAAGTGCCTACACAAGGTGTCTGGACCTACCTTGATTGTCTTTCAGGCATGGCAGCTTTTTCTTCAGCTGGGAAAAAATAAGAAAAAATAAATATGAACAAAAAGGGAAAAAATTATATATAATTCAATTTTTAATTTGTGAGAAATTAGTTTAAATTCTTCAAATATGACAAGACCTACATTCTTTAAATTCATTCAAGCAAGAATTTTTTTTAATTATTATTACAGTCTAATACATTATTTGCCCTTCATCAGCTAATTCATTTGTTAAAAGATATTCCACCTCCTCCTTCAGGTATAATTGTACATGCAGAGAAAGATTCTTCTCTGAAGAAGAAAAAAAAACTAACCGAATGAATGAAAAACGAGAAAATATCATCCAAGGTTGCAAAGACCAGATTATTAGCCCAAGAATAACAACTCACAGAATAATGACAATGGCTCTTGTCAGAATTTCAGTGTGAAGTCAAATTGAAAAACCTATGACAATTTGTTTCTTCTTTCCATAAACAAAGAAACTAAAGTGTGTGTGTGGTGAACAAGATTCATTTTAAAACATCTGCAAACTCCAGCTTTTGGGACTCACCTGGTCAATGTATGTTTCAAGATGAATATTAAAATACTTTACCTGGATAGGTCAATGCACAGAAAAACATACAAAAAAAAAAAAAAAGCATGCACACATTGAATAAAATTCAGTTTTTAATTTCTTATAAGAATTCCTTAAAAACTCAAATCAAATGTGATTATATTTGATTTGAGTTTTAAAGAAATTCTTTTTCTGGTTGGATTCTCTTAGTCATTGGTTTAATCTGCAGATGTGTGCATGTGGATAGAAAGGAGACAGGAAAGAAGCAATTGACTAGTAGTGTAGTGGACTATTTTGGAGATGTAGAAATAAAATTTTATGCTAAAGTTCATAAATACGCTCAAAGTCAACCATGACAGAAACTAGTTATTGTAAAATCATATTTTCTACAGTAACAAAATTATACAAAACAATTAGTATAAACCATATTATTTCTATATTTTATATATATATATATATATATATATATATATATATATATATATATATATATATATATATAACTAGCTTAGACACCAAAAAAGGCACAGTTGGCATGCAGACATGTCTGTCAAAACCAGTTACATCCTGGTCCCCACCCCTGTTAGAAACAGGACAGCTTGGGATGTTCAGATACGGGCCTCACTGCAACTTGTCTAGATCCAGGTTTCTGCCAGCATTTCTTGTCAATAAAAGTGACAGGAAAATCAGCAGTCAGCAACAGGCAGGACCATCTTAAGAAGTCAGTCCCATGGGCGTTTTGTTCCTAAATTTGTTGTGCCTTCTTAGGCAGCGTCATTTTGTTACCTCTCATTTCCTTTCTCTGCCTATTATTACTCTCATGGTGGCTGGGAGAACTATCGTTTAGGCGTTTCCCCTCCAACATCATCACACCCTTGCCATAGTTTACAAGCTATTTTAGCAATCGTGGCAGATGGCAAGTTTGACCCGAGATTAATCCCTGAATTTGATAGTTCAGACCACGGTTTCACTATCACTGAATGGGTTGAATACGTTGAACTGGTCTTTGATCTGGGCAGCATGAAGAACATTGCTAGCTTTCTGCTACTCCAAGTGGTGGGAGACACATTTGTTGTGTTCTAACAACCCAGCAAGGGAGAAAGAAAGGATGTAAGCCATATCGTGTACATTGTCTGCCACAGATCCATTCACAGCATGCAACCAGTTTGTGGCTAGGTATTTGGACTCAAACAAATCTCTGTGCTGTATCCTTAAAGAGGTTACAAAACAGACAAAAGCGGTACTTGAGTATCGGAACAGCAACACGCATGTAGATGAAAGAAGAGAGAATAATAAATGAAATAATTAAATGAGAATACATCATTGAAAGACAGGGAATCAGGTGGCAGGCTAGTAATTGCCAAAGTTATTGAAGTCCTTGTGCTGTGTGACAAACCACTAGGCTTCGACTTATTTGCAGGAATAGATGCAATAACTCCATTAGCTGGCATCCATATCATGCAGACAAAGAAACATCAACATGTGCAGTGATCCATATTGACCAACCTGACTTTAATGTGAAATTCAACCACCAGCAAAGGATCTCTATTGCAAAATAGGAATGAACAGCAGGTGTCACACCAGCTCAGTTATGCAACAGAGTGTCAGAGTACCCCATTTCGAAGGATATTAGGGATGCCTATGAACAAGAACTCCAGACATGGTTGACTAATACTATACCCCTAAAAGAGACTGGAGCCACCCAAGGGATTAAATCCTTAATGGCTGTCATGCAGCACAACAAAGGAAAGGTGCACAGACTGGTGGACTATCACAAACTCAACTAACATGCTTCATGTGTTCACTGCAAATGCGAACATTTTTTTTTTTTTTTGCCAAACTGCAAGAGTGGTGCCAACAAGAGGCGAATGTGGCCATACTTGACTTGCAAAATGTGTATCTTCAAGTACAAGTCCATGAGTTACTGTGGCCATATCAAACTATGATGATCAAGGGGAAGTGGTTTTGCCTAACACAGTTGGAATTCAGCCTCAATGTGGCACCTCTAGTTTTGAAATCCATTATTGAAGTCTTACAATCACAAGAGGAGTCAGTTGGGAGAACAACATTGGCATACATGAATGATGTCTTTGTCAATAAGAGGATCATGTCAGCAGATGTCAGGGCAAAATTGGCCAAGTATAGACTGATGTGCAAAGACCAAGAATGTTTGAAGGAAGGGGCTTACGTGCTTGGACTAGAAGTCTGAGGGGGAGCACAACAGTGTGATGGATATGGGGAAGTGGAATGCTAGATGTCCTTGATGTCGTGACTTGGCAGAATGTATTCACACTGTGCAGGAAGCTGGTAGAACATATCCCCATGTATGTATGGCTGCATGTTGTGGTTCATCAAGTGGCAGGCAAATATAAGTCACAAGGGGATCCCCCTCAAGCAGATGGTGAAGGAAATCATGGACAGAGTAAGACAGGAAATCATGCCCAGTGCGACTGGTGCGTGACCAAATCTAAAAAAAAATCAACATATAAGTTGATGCAAGCTCCCTAGCAACATAAAGATGCTGAAAAAAGATGAAGCAACATTGGAGGATGAATGCTGGTTTTGGCCACCAAACAATGCCCAACATATCAATTTGGTTGAACTGGATGTTGCAATCAAAAACCTCAATTTGGCCCTACAATAGCAGCAAAAGAGTCTGCACATAAAAAACAATTCCTTGTGTGTGTACCATTGGCTGCCTGATACTCTCACAGGGGGCTGAACCTGTACAACAGGTGTGTGCAACTTTCCTGAACAACATGAGTCCCAGTCAGGTAACTGAAATATATTGCTGCCATGGGCATTCAGGAGGGCAGCATACCACATATTTTGTGAGGAGAAATTGTCCTTCTGTGTCAAAGGTCATGGTAAAGCCAGCCACTGGGACCTTTGTGGAGTGCAGAAAGAATAGATCCTGCACCAGTCCATTGGCAAAATGGCAGACTGGGAGTGAACAGTACTTGATACCAGCTCTGCATAGATATCACACACTACCATGGCAGCCATCACCTGATACTAACAGACTGTAACCTATCACATTTTTCTGTGTGGCGACCATTACACTGCCAAGACGGTGTAATTATCATATGTCAAGCTGTAGTTGGTTTTCTGTGAGAGAGCCATCACATGAGCTATTCACAAACACTAACATCACATTCTGCAGCCAGGAGTTTTGGGCCTTTGCTGAAGGATGGGACGTGCATTTGTGCTTCTGATGTGCACATGTCCTGGCAAGAAGTGGAATAACAGAGAGGTGTTACAGAAGTGTCAAGAGGATTGCAGCCAGAATGAAATGTACTATTAAAGCAGCCACTTACTAGTACAATTTAACTGCCAGAGAGGATGCCTCACCACTGACTGCATCCACAAATCAAGTCTACAGATACAAGGTTCAACATTAAGGGATTAATTCAGTGCCTCCAATGATGTCTGAGGTTGGCCACAACATGTACAAAGGCCCCACACAACCAGTGTACAACAACATTCAGAAAGGAACGAATTACTAGATTTGTTAGTCTGTAATAAGTCTTGGTGGATGGAATGCCATGCCATATCAGGGACCTTCATCCTTCTATAAGTTAACAATCTTCAAGAGGTAATGAAGATGTCCAAAAGTGAGGAGGAAATCCTTGTGAGCGTGGATAGGTCAGATGATTCCACAGAGGAAGAATCACATGGGGATGAGGTGAAGGAACATGAACCAGCCGCACTTCGGAGAAGCACTCAATGGAAGACACATTTTTCAAGCTATCTTCTCTGATCAGAAGATCAGGAAGGAAGTGTTGTGAAGATGCAAGAGAGGCCCCAGATATGTCTGTCAAAACCAGTTATAGTCCCATTAATAGAAGGACAGCTTAGCATGTCCAGATATGGGCCTCTCTGCAACATGTCTAGATACGGGTTTCTGCCAGCGTCTGTCAAAAACGATGAGAAAGCCAGCAGTGGGCAAAACTGTCTTGTGAAATCAGTCCCATGGGCATTTTGTTCCTAAAGCTGCTGCGTCTTCTGAGGCCATATCATTTAGTTAACTCCCACTTCACTTCCTTTCTCTGCCTATTACCCCCCCCCTAGCGCCTGGGTGAGCTATTATTTAAACGTTTGCCTCAACTTCAATACACCTTTGCCATAGTTTACAACAATGTGTGTGTGTGTGTGTGTGTGTGTGTGTGTGTGTGTGTGTACACAAACTACACACATTGATTTCAAAAGGTTTACAGACATTATGTTTAATATTACATACTAAGTGGTCATCTTATATTGTAAAAATCGTTTTAATTGAGAAGAAAAAAAATGGTTCAACCTTTTATTTTTGCCTTAAAGAAAAAAAGAAACATTACATCAATAGCCTCAAGATTAATATTTGGAATTTGAAACACAGGAATTTCGTAAAATTCAAGTGAGAAATCAAAATATCTATTCTTTGTTATTTTATTGGTGAGAAATTTAACGATTCTTAGTGGAATTAAACATAAGCTTACCATACATCCCAGTATGAAAGGTCAGTCACAAGTGTCCCACTTGAGATAAACTGTCAGAATGTGTGTGTGGGTGATAGTCCTGAAGCTTAAGAGGTGTTGTTCATGAAAACATTTGATTATAAAGGAAAACTGAGTCTACAATAAAAATTTGCAACTCTCCCAGCTTGAGTTTTGAAAATTATAGTATGCCTTCTTAAACGAATCCAAGCTATAAAACCGTTTGTGCTTTATGTCCAAGAGTAAAAACATCAATCCAAAAACAGACTTTTAAAAATTCTTTCCCTTGGAAAAAGGCAATGAATTTTCACTTCAGTCATATTTCAGTATCTTTGTTGAAACATTTTTTTTTTTTTTTTTTTAAAACCAAAGGAGAGATTTTGATTATCTCCATTTACCATGCAAACACAATCTCAATTTTCACCCGCCCATCAGTGGTTGCTTAGATAAAAAAAAAAAGAAACAAAAAACACTAAATTTGACACAAGTTGCATGCAGCCAAAAATGGTGTTTTTTATATATCTCCAAGAATTTTGAATATCCATCTGAATTCAACAGATACTTTCAAGAATTTCATATACTTTGTTACACACATTACGTGCACACCTGATAAGGAAGCAAATGTTTGGATAGAGATTTCATAATTGTTAGTGCTTTGAGGAAGACAACACAAACCATGCAACAAACAACATGAAAACAGACAAAAAGTCAGACAGGCGAAAATCTGTAAAATATGTTAGGTACCCTCCCCCCAGCCAAGTTATGCCAAATGCAAATGAGATCAATATAGGCTATATAAAGGGGTCAATGTTTAAAAGTTACTACTTTTGACAAGACTTTTTTGTTTTTTTTTTTGTTTTTTGTTTTTTAAAAAAAATAAAAAATAAAAAAAAAAATAAAAAAATAACTACAAAGTCATAATACAATAACTTCTAGAAAAATATCTCAAAACATAATTGAACTTTTCTCGCCTAAACCTTTTTCTCTTGTATTTAAAATTATCGGCCATGATTTCTAAAGAAAACAAATGACCAGGTTGTCATGTACTATTTTTGTTCATATGTCTAACAGTGTGCTGTCAAAACTCTCAAAACAGTTTTGTTAAAGTACATTCAAACATTGACCAAGTACATTTAATTCCAGTTTAACTTGGTATTGGCAAAAATCAATAAGTCGATCTCTGACCATCATCTGGTGATATGGTAAGAATAAGGTTTCACATTGTCATTGGATTTAATGTGCTGGCAAATATTTTGCACAAGAGAACACTTTACATTTGACAATTAAAAAAAAAAAAATTGCAGTGAGAGAGAGAGAGAGAGAGAGAGAAAAACACGTAGATTAACAGGGAAGTGCGTCAGAGTGTTACCTGTCTTGTAGGTACCCATGACTGCTGCTTTAAAATAAAAATGTGGGAAGGGACAATATTAAAAAAAATTTTCCAAAAGAAAAACTGTGCACAAAATAAGCAAAGCCTTACATAATCTGCTCTATGCTGAGGAATTGAGAGGCAAATCAATATGTATGGATAAAAATAGTTATGTACATAGAATAATCCCATTTCATCTCCCCGCAATAACACTCGCATTAATCCCTCACCATCCTAAATAAATCCTGTCTTACAGAAACTTATTTCTATAGTAAAATCTTTCTATAATGATTGCATTAATTTCTGTCCAGTGATAAGCTCTGCCTGATTTTTCAATACATTTCTATAGTAAAATAACTTGCAAATTCCAGTTTTGTCTGATCTACAAGATAAGTATCCAAACAAATTTTAGGTTGAAAAGAAAAATTCTATCATAATACAGTATTTTAATCGTTTTATTTCCCCTTAGTCACTCCCTTTTGAATATATGTACAAATCAGATTAGTGACCATTTTTATAACTTTTGGAAGTAATAGAAACTTCAGAATAAGTTACAAGCTTAGGGTAGAATGGCTTTTTACTTTCTATGTCTTCCAAATTTCTCTCCCTAAATGTTTATGGCATTTATTTTTCTCTAAATGTTACACTCTTAATATGCAATAATTATTTGAATAATTGTTTAATATAACCTCTTTGCACATGTTTTATTTTTTTTAACTGTACTTCATGTAAAAGCCCCTTTTTTTTTAAGTGTTATGTTATATTTTAATACTATTGTAACTTCATTTAACATCCTTGTTTTCAGTAGACTGACTAAATTATTGTAACCTTTAAAACAATTTCTGTTGGCTAAATCCCTACTACGGCTTGTCTTTTCCAATTTAGACCATTGATTTCTCTGTTATGTTCAGCTTTAAAGCCTCCTCGGTCATATTTCTTCTGGTTCACATCTCTTCGTTATCTCTTGTTTAGGTGCTTACAGCCATATGTTGAAACATCCTATCACTGAAGTTAAGCAACATTGAATCTGGTCAATACCTAAATGGGTGACCACTTGGTAATACTAGGTGCTATAAACTTGAATGCGTGGGTGGTGTAATGGATAAAGGCTTAGGATAAGAAATCAGAGTGCTTGAATTTGATTACTTGTATGCAAATACTATTGGGAAAGGTATGAGTCCACCTCTTCTCCTACCAGCTATGGATTCAACAGTAAGACTTGTATCAGAAAATCATTATTATCTCAAAATTTCTTAAAATCCCAAAATATGCTTCAGCTTTAAATAACCTCAAAAAGGTTGATAAGCTATAAAAAACAAGATCAATTAATCTTGATTAGACTTGAACAAGAACTCAACCCTGAAGCTCAGGCCTCATAGAACAATCGGAGCACTATAACTGAGAAATTGTTACTACTTTGTCTATTGATTAAACGATACTCAAGCTTGGTTTTCAGTAAATCTGTAAATGAACAGAACTTTGAATGCAGTCAGGTGTTTCTCTGACTGTCTAAAGAAATATAGGTTTAAGGTATGCAATATTTATGGGATATATTTACATACATTCTATCAGAGATAGAATGTATGTAAATATAAAAATCAGCATTGAAGTCAACAGACTATTTCATACTAAATGCAATCATCAGGCCTGATGATTGCATTTATCATAAAACAGTGTCGCCTCTGAGTGTTGACTTCAATGTTCGCTTATATATGCTCTAGATCAGTGAGTCCCAAAGAATATAGTTATGCCCAGAGAACATGGCAAATCTAGCTGGGCAGGTTGGAGTGTAAAGGAGCAAAGAAACATTTAAACATTTCTGTATAGAAACAAGAAAGTTTCAAGATTTTAAGCCATCTTGTAGCAGACATTTTCATTTGTGGTCAGATTCCATTTTCAATAAAAATAACCTTTAATTGCAAACATTTTTTTTTTTTTTGTGCAGGGAGAAAAAAATATTTGCATTCTGACTGATTACACATTAGGCTGTATGTAGGTCACTGGATTTTGGATATACAATAACAAGAAACAGGATCCAAATATCTATTCAAGAGCAGCTATTTTTCTGTTGTGAACAGGGATTTGGGACAGTAGAAAATATCAAAAACTCAGCCCTATTTAAATAGAGTTGCCCCCCAAAAAAAATTGTAAATCAACATTCATTAGACCTACATGCCAAGGCATTTGTTAGAATAAAAAAATATTGAGTTTTTATCAATTTTGAAGGGGGTCCTGTTTATAATATTAAAACAGTGACAAATTGATTCCTGACTTTTACAGGAGTTATCTACACTTTGCTTTTATGTGCTTACATCATTGATGTCTGCATATTTTTTATACTTTTGTTAATTTATGTAAATTTTTGTTTTCTAATTAAAAATGTGGCACTAATTTTAGAATCTATTGATCTGTTTAATGATAAAAACTTTGTTTAAAAAAAAAAAAAAAAAAAGGTTTATTTAAATCTATTGCACTGAAATAGGTTTTGTTTACGATATTTTGTAAAATAAAACACCATGATATATACACAAGTTGTATATATCTGGGTGTTCTTTACTTTAAAAAAAAAAAAAAAAAAAAAAAAAAAAATTAAAAAATATTTTGTAAAATAAAACACCAGGATATATACATAAAAATGTATACATTTGAGTGTTTTTTAAAAAAAAATAAAAAAAAAAAGTTTTGTACATAAGTGACAAGTATGGTTTCAAACTACTATTAATCGATAACTCTTTGAAAGTCAGGGATCAATTTTACACTGTATCGATATCTGAAACAGGATCCCCACTTTTAAAAATTAATAAAAATTAATATTTTTCAATTAAATGTCAAAAGAATGCTAATCTACAAAAATTATTTCTAAAAAAGTTTTTTTTTTTTAAAAAAAACAAGTGGACCAGTCTGTTTAAGTAGTATTCAAAAATTAAAGAAAGGTTTCCTTGTTTGTCTCAGATTAGCTGAACTTACCAGTTTAATTTTATATATGAACAATGTTTTAAATTATTTGCTATATTGGGCACTTACACCAGGAGTAAGTATGCTTTCAGCTATCAAAAAATGGAAATCGAAAAGTTGGTTTAAAAAGGCAAATAAAATTGCTAATTAATAAATGTGCATTTACAAAAACAAAACAAAAATAATATAAAAGAAAAAATAAACAAAAACAAAAAAATAAATAAAAAGTGAATATAAATGCAACTGGTAGTGGGTTGGTGCATAATTACCAGGCGTTTTTGTAGGAAAGATATTTGTTAATAAAAATTTGTTTTGTTTACTTTTTTTTTAATAAAAATATTTTATTTTCAGATTATAAAAATGTGTGTTGATAATCATATTCATTTAAAAATGTTGTAGAATTATTATGTTTCTTTTATTCATAATAAATATAGTTTTAAAACGCCTGATAATTATGCACCAACCCAATAATTGGGAGAAAATGAGATTCAGGACCGAAAAGGCTGTGATCAGAGATAGCCTAGGATGGAGAGGGTGAAATATGGGAAATCTGACAAGTTGTGGGTAGAAAAGTGGGTGGTGATTTAGATGGAAAAAAAAAAAAAAAATTTTGGTATAGCTCACCTTCTGCAGCTTCCAACTCCCTCTTCTTTTTCTGTCTTTTTTTACGAATGTAAAGAACAATTCCCAAAATAATTGCAATGATGATTTCTGGAATTATCACTGCCAGGACAATAATGATGATCAAAGTCTTAGACACTAAACAGGAAAAAAAAAAAAAAAAAAAAAAAAAAAGAGGGAATATCCATTAACTTCACATCCAACTAATATTAGGGTTAAGAAAAAAAAGATAAAAGCAAAAGGTTTTAAATGCTACAGTGAAATTTAAAAATTAGGCTAAAAAAAAAAAAAAAAAAAAAAAAAAAAATTTTTAAAAAATATTTTAGAATAAATTTTTATTTATCCGTGGAAAATTTATAAACAATAACATTCAAATATGTCATATATATAAAGTACAGTTTATGTGTGTTTGTGCATGTCCAAGTAACTCTTCCACTCCCACTGGTCTGATTTCAAGGATTTATAGCTCATTCAAAAGCCCTAGAAAAGTTAGGCGCAGGAAACGATTTTCATTTAGCTCAGATTCAGGGTTGCCAGATAATGCAAGGTTAAAAATATATATTAATATATTATACTAGCCATTATCATTGCTTTCATTGTTCAATGGGAGCAACTCTTATTATATCCAATATTGTAGCTAGCTTAAAATTTTAGCTAGCTATCAGGTGGCATTTAAGTTAGCTCCTGTAGAGGACTATTGGTTTGGCCATCAACACAATAGATAGGAAGGAGTAGATGTGATAGGCATCAATAAACTACAGAAGAACTCAAAATTGATTGCTGCATTTAAGTATTGAATTAGTGTTTAAACTTAAGTTTTAAAAGTTCAATGATAATTCTTCTGCTGCCAATTAATTTAAAGACAATTTGATGTACAAAGGTCCTTACTTTACATACAAACAATTATTTTATTTTCATGGGTGACAGAACGGGACAATTTATAAGATAAAATTAATATAGTGTAAAGATGGGAAAATAGAAATTAGAATTAGTTATACATTCAACATTTGAAGAGTTACAGAAACATAATAGCTAATTAAGTAAAACTTATATTATGGAATCTATATGAATAAATGTGAAATTGGAGCTCAATTCTCCCACGAATTCTGACATTAAAAAGCCCTTAACTCTACTTTATAGTAATTTGGTATTTACTTGATTTCCCTATTTTCCAACCCATTTACAATTAAGTTTAATTAAGCAAGGTGTTGAAATTACAAGTATCTCCTGACTACAGATGTTCGGATTTTATTTTGAAACAACTTTTAGCAATAAGGGATTTGGTTGTTCATTTTTAAATTCTTAATTATTGAATTGAGTTTAATAAAAAAAAAAAAAATGTATTTGTTTTTGTAAACAATTTCTAAAATTAGAACAAACCTAAAAAATATTTAAATTTGCCATGTGTAATGAAGGAAAACTTTCATTGTGGCAATAAAGAAAAAAAAATACTTTGAAAATATTTTGTTTCTTTCCTTAGGAATGTGGAAGTTAAGATTAAATACTTACCTTTTTCCGAATCAACTGGATCCACTGAAAAAGAAAAAAAAGTAAAGTTACAAAAGAAAATTTAATCTCCTCTCATTAATTCCACTTAAAAAAAAATCTAACTTGTTTTTATCCAGGTTTCCTGTCAGTGATCTGCTGAGGTAAGGAAATGAAAATAAGCATTCTCATCTTTATAACTATGGCAATTATGCTTTCTTCTTTACCACTTGTGGAAAGAAACCAAAATGTTGTCTAACTGTCACACTGGCCAGAAAGAGGAACAATAATGTGCTTACCTCATAATCCCAATTGCTACTTTCATATCCTCTGATGCCCAAAAACTCATGACAAGTTATTGCCAATTCCAGGACTGCCTTCTGCTGAGAGAGTTTTTCTTTTAATGACTCAACACACCCATAAATTGTCAATAGGTTCTTTTTTCTTTTTTTCCACTTTTTAAATCTGAAGCATGATTAAGTGTAACAGGGAAGTAGAGAGTTCATCCCTGAAGCAGTTTCAACTTGAAGCGAAAGGAAAAAGAAATTCCTCACTTTTCCAGAATTTATAACATTAAAAATATATATATATATTTACTACCTAGTAAACACTGCATTTAAATAAATTAAAAATAATTTTAAAATGCATTTAAATAAATATCCAAGAGTGCAAAGCAATGAATTTCATTTCCAGTGATTTGGGGGGGGGGAATCATGCCAATCCAACCCTATTTTCTATTCCATCAGATCAACTGTAGTTGAGATCATAGTGTCACTGTGAACACCACAATCTTTTCAATGGTTGAACAAGATGTGCTTTGCAAAAGCTACAAGTTGTTTTTCTCCTAGACTAGTTGCCAATCACAGACATAGAGTTCAGTTTGGCCTGTTACTTAATCCAAAGCTGGTGGAAGGAGAAAAGACTGATTCATACCTTCCTCTGGGGGTACTTGTGTGAAAGTAAATGTATCAAATTTGATTAGAATTCAGTTTGCCAATTTCTCATTTTGAACTGCTAACCATTATACCACCTGAATATCTGAACACATTTTAGTCGAATATAAATCATTCTTTTTATATTTAATTTTACAGATCTAGGCTTCATTTATTGAATTTTTTGCTACGATTACTCTTCTAATTTTGTTCTTAACTACTTTAAGATAAATTTCTTCAGATAAATTTTTAACAAAATTTGCAGCTACCATCTAAGTTATCTCCCTTTGATTAAGAGGCCTCAAATAAGATTTATCTGCATGACAGACAGTAGTAGAATCCTAAGGGATTACTTGCGGTTTTGAACAGCAGTAGAAGTAGGATTTTATGTTGACAATATGTTCACCATCTTAACTTTTTAAAAAAATAAATTTTCTCTCATCTCACAAATGTACATTTAACCGTAAATGGCATAAGCATTTTCCATAAGGAACTGAAAAGTTTGGAATGTGCAATTAGCCAAATAGACATTAGTATAGAAAGTGAAATCTAGTGTCTAGGCTAGTCTATTACATTCACTTTCACACAAATGCCCTCAGGAAAGTCATGAATTCATGTCTTGTCTCCCTAGCTATGTGTTAATTAGCAGGGTAGACTGGGCTCTCACCATGGGTGGCAACTGATCTAGAGGGAAAATTCTGAATACTAAGTTCTGGAGAAGCCAACACAAAACTACTCTAATATCTTTCTGAAGAGTGTATGGCAACTAACAGATAAAGAAAAGGTATTTGTGGAGTATCAGGAGAACCTACATCATTAGGGGGACAGGTATTTTTAATTTGAAGATTTTACAAGTTTAAATTAAAAGCTATTTATAAAAAATGTCCCTTCAAGAGTAGTATCTGTACTTCAACCAAGTCCACAACGTTCAAAATATCTGTTAACATAATCACAAATGGATGTTAGATTTTAGAAGTTTTGTTGGTAAGAAATCTGACTGATGTGGCACTGAAGCATAATACTTACAACTGAAACAACTTCAGCTTTACTTGAAAGTACTTTTCAGAAATAGTTAAACAACAAAATGACAATCATTTTGTTATCATTTTTCAAAATATTGCCAAAGAGCAGAAAAAAATATTTACAAACTTAAAATGAAATTTAAAAACACAAATTACTAACAAATACATGCAATAAATATTTCAAATAAAATAACTCGTTTTTTTTTTTTTTAAATAATGCCATATTGAAAAAAATTTGGGTTTAAAAAAAATAATTGTAATAATAAAATAATTACAAAGTCCTATTAGCTAAAATTAAGAAACTTTTTACTTTTTCAATTGGCATTTACCTAAAATCTTCAACTACATATTTTTTAAATCTTTGAAACATGGCTAAAGTTACATTGCACTTTTGATGCATTTAGTGGGCCTTTTAACATCTTATCATGCATCTCAAAATGCAAAGGTTAATATTCTTTCTTACCATTTTGTTTTGTATCCAGGCTGAGCAATATAAATGGCAGTAGTTTGTGAAAGGAATGGTCTTCAAAAAGCTAAAATCAGATTGATTGAATTTTTTTTTTTTTTTTTAATATTAGGAATTTTCTTGTGTTGATCAGTTTTAAAAAATAAGTTAACAAATAGATGGGAGGAGAAAAAAAAAACAGCTAATAGTAATGTGACACCATTTAGGGATGCAAGGAAAAGGAAGAAAAGAAGGGAAAGAAGGGAAAGAAATGAAATTTTGATAATGAAAAATGGTGAAGAGTTTCATTGTCATTGTTGAGAATTCTAAATAGATGAAAAAAAAAAATAACGGTGTCGTGGTGGCGAACTTATATTATCAGAAAAATGGCGAAGCCATTCCATCGTATCAGTGGTTGGCGCCGAGAAGTGAATGCGTCTGTTTGGACCAGCCACTTGGTTGACAAGTTCCAGATCGGCTAGTTAAACTCCGGGACAGAATAGATAAACATTTAACTGTGTCACGGGAATGCCATTTGGGGCTTCCACAGAAAACTACAGAGATAAAAATTTAATAGGTCGCCCGTTGACCACACACAAGCTGGAAAAAAAAAAGAAAACAAAGAAAATAGGTTAAGTCTTTGTCGATGGAAAGATATCGTTAGACAAGGTATCTGTGTTGTGTTTGGCGGTAACAGCGAAACTATTTTATCGGAAAAGTTGGCTGTGTTTCGCTAGATGACCACCCACCTGATAATTGGCGAAAATCTGATTGACGAAGTCCAGATGAAAGTGACTTTGGGATAGGAATTGAGGTTATCACACTACGGGTCATATTGTTCTGTTGGCGGCCAGAGAAGAAGAGAGAAAAGAAAAGAAGAGAAAGAAAGGAAATAAAAAAAAAAAAGAGGAGATAATTTTTTTTTCTTTGAGAAAGATATTTTTTTTTTAAGAAACAAGGCTAGTCTGGTCACACCCACACTGTTGATCGGCCATTGGCTGAATGTTAACGAGAGCCAGGCGGAGGTGATCATATGATGCAGGGGGGGAGGCCTCATTAAAGAGGATAGGTATGAGATGTTACTGCGAAGAAGTAGGAAAATCGTTGATGCCCTCTGAGGGTATGGTAAGAGAAGACTTCCAAAAAAATGGAAATAAATTTTTCCTGACCGAAAACAAAAAAAAGGGGATTGTGGATTTGAAATTGTCGGGGAACCTCAAACCCCGACAAAGCCCACCCCGATTTTGGTCGGCGTCCATATAAGCAAAGTCGCAGCGAGCGAAAATCAGTTGGAGTTCGGGCAGTTCCAGATCCGGTTGGAGTTGGCAATTGGCAGAGCCTCGCAGAGCTGACTTGAAAGATTCGCGCAACTTCCGAACTCATCTTCAATCCAATTTATTTTTGAAGAGCGACTTAGATTCATACCACCAAAACAAGTTTTACGACTATCGCCTGAAGACACACCAAGAACCAGTTTCTTAAAGAACAGGCAACTTAAGATGTTAAAACTGCCCTAACAAAAACGTGTCACGAATCCATATAGCGGGTCGGGAGATAGACGCAGTCCTATGTATCCAGCAACCAGATATAAAGTATTGTTATCCTTTTTTTGATACCTTTGAACTTTTGAGTTATTATTTTATTTTCTGTTACACATATTTGTGCAATACCACCCTTATTCGAAGTCAACTTGCATTACGGCCCTGACGACTGATTTCGTCTGCCTAAGATCAATTCACAACATGGGTAGGCAGACTGGAGATCAAAGCAGTTACTTCAGTAACCAGACGTTGGAAGCGAGTTGGGAACGACGAGACTGATATCGAATCTAACCAGATTCCCATCCAAATCACCAAAAGGTTAGAACGTCACATTTGGGTGCCGCGACCATTACCAAGCCAGTTGGTCGTCACAGGACGGGATAGTACGACTGACGCAGACAGGCGGACGTCAAGTTTGGAGCGGCAACACCCGAACGAAGCAGCGAGGAACGAGCAAGGCTGGGGGACATCACAGTAAGGAATGTGTGAAGAAAAAAAAAAGAAAAAAAAAAGAAAAAAAAAGGAATTGTTTTAGCTTCTTAAGTGATGCTATTAACCAAATATACAAAATTCTTCCCAGAACTTTTAACTTGCAATAATGGAACCTCAGAAAAAACAGTTTTAAATATTTCATATTTTAATAAGGATTCCATAAAAACAATAAAATTGCAGACAGGTTGCAATATGCTAAGAAAAAAAAAAAAAAAAAGACAATTTGTACAATAAATTGTGTTAGACAATATGTTAGTAATCTGTTGTTACAAGAAGCACCACAAAGACGAACAATGATGGACTACAATGGCAAATAGAAAAGGAGAAAGAGGCAGAATGGACACCAAAACAATGACTAACAAATAAATTTAGGTTAGTGTAAGCATGCAAAATTAAAAAAAAAAAAAAAAAAAAAATTTATATTTATTTAATACAGATGTCCTTTAATAGTTATATTAAACATGTGAAACAGTGAACATATTGAAATGTAACAACTATTATGAGACAAAAGTAATTTTTTTTTTTATTAAAGAGAAAACACATTTTGAATTCATCCACTAGTCAAAGATTTGTAGGATACTGATTAAAGAAGAACTGGGCTTCTGTACATGCCTTT